TCAAAATCAAATACATATTGACTCTCATTTCAGAAATGTCAAGCATGCTGTAAACAAATTCTCAGTACACACATGCTTTAGAAACTGCATGAGAAAGACTGGAAGGGAAGCTGTTCTTTGAGGGTAGTCAGCTTTAAGATAGCTTATTTTTAAGTGCAAGCTACAGATTACAGCCAACAAAGATAGGGATGGGATCATCAAAAGCAGAATTATCATTTTAGCTTCCCACCATTGAAAACAAACAGACTGATGTTCCCTGTTGAGCCTAAAAGCAACAATGTGTTGGCCCTTCCTAAACTACTCGCTGTACAATGCGCACGATACCTGTACTTCAAATGCATCTTTGTGCATTATAAAGCACATGTGTATCAGTATGCTTTGCACCAGTAACAATATTTGCTGAATGAGCTCACAGTGTCTTAAAGAAGGACTAATCTAAAAAAAACCTGGTACAGTGTGAATCTGAGTGGGTGAAGAAAGTGCTACTTTTGGCCTTGACACTGGTGTTGGACTTCATTTTTTCTTTATCATTAAAATGCATTTTTATTCTGTTTGCAAAGACTCCTGTACTTACAACCAAACCTAATGATACCATTTCCTGTACCAAACATGACTAATGTTTTATGTAATGGGAAGCAGGAAAATTGCAATGGCTTTTAAAGAGGGCATGGCCAAATTGAGCCAGGCCCCAATGGTAGGTATTTAAAGGTCCTACAAACCATGAGTTTTCTGACTTCTTCATTCACTGAGACAATTCAGAAAAATCTCCTCTCTCAAGCAACCACTAAATTCCTTTCTCTACACCATGGAGAAAAGCACTAGTTTTAGTCATAATGTATGGAATATGGTTCATAAATTAGTGTTATATTCAGATGACTGTCATGGAATTCTGACTCTTCCAGAGGGGAAAAAAGGCATTTTGGTAACAGATCCATCCAGAATCAGGCAACAGTAACTATTTAAAGCATTAATTGCAAGGATTTCTGAAAAACAGAAATGTCTGACCAAATTAAAAGTGCTCAGCACTTCTTAACATCAGATCCATTATCATAATGTCGTGAGCAGAAGCCCATGGACCTTGGATGAAAGGTGTTATCGTGCTTCTGGAGCAGGACCACACGAGTTCCATGACCACCACCAACCCGTTTTGCACTGCCTTACCAGTCATTTGCTTTCTGCACTGAAGATGCACAGTATCAGAAGCACAAGATGTGATCCAGTCTAATTTCATATAAACAGTCTGCCCTACGTTTGTCTTTACTATTCACCATTGTTAAATATTAAGCAAGAATGACATAACATATGCTTCCCACTTCCAATTCATCTTCCATAGGTCCTTTCCATCAGGGGAACAATAGAGAGATTCATTCTAGCTTTCTTCCAGTCGTTACAAACACGGGAGTAATAACGCATGGCGCACACGTAGCCTGGTAATCGTTAGGTGCGAGCCATTCCCTTCTGTTCTCAATCCACAAATGCGGTAATGTGATATCTCTCAGCGTGGGAGTATGAATCCTCAGCTCAAGCTGTTGAGACACCTCCTTACAGTATCTCGTAGTTGCACTGAGGCAGTGTATTTCAGATGAGCCTCAAATCCTCAGGTCTGGCTTCTGTAGTCCAGAAGTCTGAAATCCCCTGGGCCAAAGTTTTTACAGATGCCCCCCTGGCACCCGAATTACAGGCACAGATCCATCCTAAAGCTCCATTTGAAAGGCATGGAGTCCATTCTCAGCTGATGGAAGTTGGCCCTGCTGCACTAAAGCCAGGGAAGGCCCAGGGTGATTCACTCCAGCTGAGGAAGTGGCCTGAAATCATGATCAGTCACCAGAAACTGCTTTTAAAAGCTATTCTCCACCATGACGGAATGTATAAGGCAGACAAACTACTAAAAGCTTTTCTGTTTAGAACTTTTTGACAAGATATTTTTCTGAGGACTAAGATGACTGTTACTCCAGAAATGAACATCAAACCATACAGTGCAATTCTGGAGCTGTCAGTTCAACATCTGTAAAGAGAATAATCACAGCGCGACTCAGGTAATACTTTCAAAAGCACAGCTTAGTCAGTGAAAGACAATATAGAATATACAGAGATGTGCTTTAATTAATGTATGAGGAGTCTGTAAGAGTTAATCTCAGTGTAGACAAGCAAAATGGAGTGGAAGATATATAAAAAAAGTATTTGATTAAGCAGCCTGCTGAGTTTCGGCCAACGAGGTACAGAAGAAAACCCTGGTACCCTGGTAGTACAGAAGGAACTATGTTTAAAACAGCTTGAGGAAGGGAATGTTATCTCAAATAAAGAACAGTTCTAACTAAGAACATTTTAAACACACGTTAAATTGTCACTGAACTGACTTTTGAGTTTGGTCTGGTTTTCCTAAGATTATATTATCATGGACTAAAGTATGACTTGGATTATCTGCCTGTGCAAATGAGGAAGGATGAAAAACAACCAAATAAAATCTTTCCCTGAAAATCTGTATTGGCTGTCAGGAGATTTGGCCTGGGCACACAGGAATAGGAGAATGCACATGCTTACTGGGTTTAAAGAGAAGGAACAAACACACCTTTGGCTTTAATGTAACAGCTGCCTTCTGGGACCCTCCCAACCTATATGTTGTCCGGAGCGGCTCAGACATAGAAAGGGGAGTGAAAGATAAATTATTTCCTTCAGAAATTGTGAGGAAGCAGTTGAAGAGTTTTGACTTTGAGGGGTGCTTCTGCATCAAATCTGCCAGGGTTGGGTCTGGCTGAAGAGGCTCACATAAAAATCTCTTTTCTTAGGATTGTATCCTAGGGCTGTAGTAAACACTCTCTCAAGAGCACGACCAAAGTCTGTCTGAGAGCTTCCCCCGATCCAGCTTTATTTAGCTCATTAAGGTTTCAGGGTTTTGGGGGCCCTTTTACTGTTCCCAAGTACAACTCTAAGCACCTGAATTCCTGAGTCTTCCCCTTCCTGGCCCGCTGTCTTTCACAAGTGTTTTGCTTAGAGTTATTGCCTCTTCCCTGCCCCCCACCCCTTTAGTTTTCTGAATCCTCCTTGTTGCATTCAGTGTCAATTATTTTAATTTACTGAACACATCAAACAAGCTCCAGTTTCACTTGGTATTTCATCTTCCTTGAGAGATTTATACCTCCAATCTCTGCTAGATTACTGAGGCAAACAATGAATTCAATTAAGAAAATTATAGTAAATGATGCTGATTTTGTCAATAACTTCGTCTGCTACTTCTCAGAGGTTGCACTGTTTCACTCAGGTGACCTCTTGTTCCATGTACTTGAAAAAACATCATTCCACTTCTTATGATCACTTGCCAATCTTCCATTCATTATCTACCTTCTGGTTTTCTTTCTAAAAAAGCAGAAATTTTTTATAACTACAGGTGAGTTGTCTGAAGATAGAAATTGTGAGCAGACTAAAATCACGGGCAGGGTTATGCATGGCCTGGTAGGTATGTATTAACACATACCAAGAATTAACAAATGCAGTGTATGTGAAGGACTGCAGGCATTCAATTATTTTTGCTTTCAGTGGAAGAATTTTGTGATATACTGACATTTGGTATCCCTATAGAACATTTGAAACAGTAAGTTAAGACAATATAAACTAAAGCTTTGCAGCATTTTTATTTACATAATTGCATTTTAGATACTACCCACCATGCATTCCTGGTTATTCCAATGTTATGTGGTTGTGCCACATTTCCCTCTGCCAGCATTAAAACGGCAGAAAGGGAAATGCAAAAATGCAACAGAAAGTAAGTCACTATAAAAGGTGGTCATCTCTCAGCAGAACAAAAGATACTGCTTTGTGGTGTAACACCAAACAGAATTGACATCAAGTTTAGTTGTGTATAACACAAGCTTTCGTGTTTCAGCACAAATCCACGAGCTCTGTCTCATGTTTTTGGGGGGTTGGGGGAGACAGCCAGGCAGTCCAAGCCTTTATATATGCAATTCTGCTCTGGCAAGTGGAGAACCAGGAAACAAACCTCTGATGCCAAAATCTTCTATCTATATCTATCTGAGTTCTGTTGGGCTATTCTTTTGAACATTTTCACAGAACAGAGATGCTTTGCAGAGGCTGAAATACAAATTCACAAAAACTGGCGTGATTCCCCCAAATATACAAAGGAATATAGAAATACAGATGACTCAACCACAACTTGTGCGAGCTGTTTTCTAGTTAGTCTCTTTAATTCAATCCAGTATATTTATGCGAAGCAAAACCACTATTATGGTGAATAATCTCCTGATAGTGCGGGGATATTTAAATGGACTCATCTTTTCTAAATGGAGGCTTCACCATCTGTTCTGTCCTTTTATTACAAATAGAGAGGGAACCTAACTCACTGCATCAGCATGTAAAGCTTAGCATTGAAATGATTTAGAAGTACGTGTGTGTTCTTTATGCACCTGGTATGTTTCCTCACACACCAAACACAAATCAGTGGGAAGACCTGTCCCTTGTAACCTAATAAATTCTCTGATCTAGTGCCTTTATTCCTTTCTCATGGCAGTAGAAATTCATGGCCAGTAGTTTGCATGTTATTAGGACAATTATGACCCTGTTGCTGTCCTGCAGGAGTTTTATCTTTATTGGGCTGAGATTTTGTGATACCATTTACCTCTCTAAAGAAAATGAGCCTTGATGCCTATTTTTCCCTCTTGCTGGGCCTATATATGCTTCACCGTGGACAGAAATCTTGTAGGAGTTGTGCTGAAGATGCATCAGACTGCTGAAAAGCTCTGTCCGTCCCCAAAGGTTGCCATACAATCTCTCTTAAGACCTTTTAGAGAAGGAACATATTCTCCTCAGAGAAGCACAGGACCAGGAACTCCAAAATGCATCACACTGCATCATTTTTACTGCTTTAAATGACAAATTTTGCAGTAGGTTAGGAAAGGAGGTGCAAGCTACCACATCTCATACTCTCTATACCAGGAGACTGCACGCTCAATGCAAACGTTAGTTCAAAGAAAACCCTCAGGGCCTACCTGTGTTGTAGCCCCTCCCAAGCGCTGGCCAGGGCCGATGATTCTTCCAAAGGTTGCCCAAATACCAGTCACTCTGATTCTCCACCAAGCCAAGAACCTGCTGCCCTGGAAATGAGCAAATTGCAAAAAGATCATGAGACGAAAGGCAGTCAGTCAATGGAAAACAAAGGCAAAATCTGGAGAGGGACAGCCAGTGGAAAGAGAAGACAGAAGTTGGGGTGCTGCCTTCCCTTTACACATTCGGAAGGCGCCCGCTTATGCAACAGCCAGCAAGGCTGGCACAGCAAACTCAGCACGGCTCATTTCTTCCCTTCTCCCCCAGCTAGCCTGAGTAATTAAACACTGTGGGAACCTTTGTCATGCTGACAAAAATACATCACCCAGACAAATCTGAATGCTGCTTGATTTTGGAACAGAATGATGGAGAATCCTCCTAGTGAGAAGTAAGTGTTGGTGAAATGATCATCTAATATGAAGATCTGTTCATACTCTGATGGAGATAATATAATTGAAGAACAAGGCTCAGTATAACAAATGATTCTCTTCCCATGCTCCCCCCCGACTAGTTTCAGGGATTTTATTCTCAGTCACAAAGGAAATCCCTTTTGCTCGGGAAAATATTGGATTCTAAGAGTTTACCTACAGAAGAAAGTTGCACTGTTTTAATTTAAGAGAGTAATTTAAAAGTCATTTAGATAAGCCTGTGTGGAATGCTGCATAGAAATTATGATTTCAGTTTTAGATGGGCTTATTTTGGTTTAGCTTACATTGATTAGCAGCTGGCTTCAGCTAGAGTAAAACGTGTTTTAAATCAAATGTGTCTAGAAGGTTTGCACTGCTTAAAAATCAACTGAAAAGTGAATGTTTGTACAGATAAGGACTTAATTATCTATCCCGAAATGTGCTGTATAAAATGTAAATAAGAGAAGTGATTGAAATGATGCTCTGGTGACAGAGGATAGAGGGAAGGGGAAAACTGCATTTGGATCTAGTCAAAGAAAGGAAGGGGAATGGTATTTTGACCGAGGGACCCGCTCAGTAAGGGCACTAAGACTGGGATTGGAAATTACTCTGCAACCTTTTGAGAAAGCAATTAAGCATCATGCTCTGAAGGCGCATTTTCAAATCCCTGCTACGCTCATAAAACTGGGTGTATGGTCACAGCAGTGCACTGAAAGCATTAAATGATCATTATATGTTGCTTATGCAGGACCACAGCTGTATTCCTAAAATTTAAGTATGGCCCAAGACAAGATTGGGGTGAGAAGTAAGACACAAAGACAGGAGTGATGGATTCAATTTTGTAATCAGCTAGGAAGACATTAGGATAGGTCAGGTGGCTGCGATACTCTCCTGTGGTATGTCTAATCCAGTGGAACAACAGTAACCCCACACGCGTCTTGAATGCTGTTTCAAAGAGTGTGAGCAGCAGTGAGTGGCCAATGCATATAACAAATAGATTGAAACACTACAAAAGCATTCAAGGAATGAACGTAAATAATTCTAGAAATAACCTTGAGAGATTTCCAAGTCCATTCCACACCACTGTTCAGGATCATCTTACTCCATCCTAATCACAGCATGCCAGTCCTCACCAGACCTCATTTTCTGATGATGTCTCTCCTTTTCCATTATATATATTTTTATATATATATATATATATAAATAATTTTTCACATTATACTCCACAACTCATTTTTAAGAAGGTGGAAAATCTGAGGGAGAGCAGAAAGGATCATATAAAAGACCACCACACATTTATCACCCCACTGGTGCTACTGAGAACTGGTAATATTAACAGAGTGCAATGCACTAGAGAATGAAGGAAATGACAAGTTAGAGGCAGATGCATCCTAAGCAACTGGTGATTTGTTCGTGCAAATAAACTGTAGCATCTCTCAACCTGTGAGACACATGGAAGAGACTAGACAGCACATGAGGTGCCACAAGCCATATATTGTGAGGAAATATGGAAGGGATCTTAACTGCCTAAAACAAGTCTTAGCCAAAAAAACAGGCTGAAGGGCACAATTTAAACCAACATTTGCTGATTCCGTGTGGAAGACTGCCTGTTCTTTGTAACCACTCCCTTAGAGCTGAGGTAGAATAAATCAAAATCAGAAACTACCATGGCTACTAAAGGATGAGAAGAAAGCCCAATAAAAAATGCAGGTGCAGCTGGGCTGGAATGGATTGGCACAGCTGGTAGGAAGACAGTGATCCTGCTCATATTCTAACAGTGCATTTTACAACTCAGCAGTCCACAGATCCTTCTCAGGATAGTACTGCTAACTTCAAAAGAAATATCAGAATTCCATTTGCAAGAAGCAGATACTGAACTTCCTTACCATGGAGCATCAATCTGCTTTCATTATTTTAGCCCCATGCATTTCCCACCAAGCCACAGAGTTCAGCCTTCAAACCGATGAATAATAAAAAATGAACAAACCTTGCTGCTTGTTAATGGTTTTCCTCTCCCACCTACCAGTCCAAAACCTCAGTTCTGACAATGTACCCCCGAAATACTTATTTCTCAGTTATTATTTCTCATGCTAAGATAAATTGAAAAGGCTCAGGAAATTATGTTCGCACATATTTATTGTAGCTGTATCATTTCCTTTCCCCTTTTCCCTTTATTTTTAAAGACAGCAGAACAAATCCTGCTCTCATCAGTATTCCTTGTGGTTTGATATGGGACACGGATGAAGGCAGAAATTAACATCGTGTAAGCTTTAGGGCTCAGCTACATGGATCAGATAATGTGACTTACTGTGTATCAACTGAGCTGGAATAACTGCCTGTACGTGTCCTTTTAGCTTGTCACAAATACAAAGTAAAAGGTGTTAGCTAACACACTTTAGTTTGCTTTTGCAATGGCCTGGGAATGCGCCCATGTTCACATACTGTCCTAGGATGGAGCATTATGCAACCTGTCAGGCTGTTGTAAATTTTGCTGGTGTCTAAAAACCTACCAGGCAGATGTGATGGCTTGTCTCCCCAGCCACCTCAGAGAAAGTTAAGAAGATACGTTTTGTATCTTCTCTAGTTGTATTTGTGTTTTCTCTAGCCTGAAATACTGTTGCTGTCTCTGCCAAAGAAGAGTATATTTTTATTTCCCTTTACATTGTCTCTGTGATCTTGACTTAGGGCAGAAGTGATCAGGAAAACAGAACTGGAGCTGCATAGCAAATATTGACGGTTCCAAAAAATGTTTTCATTCTGAATCAGTATAAGACAAAGAAATTCAGAAATATTCTCTGAAAAATTTCCCCAAATATTTTGATCTGAAGACATCAAAATCATACATTCACAGAATCATAGAACTGTTTAGGTTGGAAAAGACCCTTAAGATCATCAAATCCAACCGTTAACTTAACCCTGCCATTCCACCACTAAACCGCGTCCCTAAGCACCTCGTCTACCCGTCTTCTGAATACCTCCAGGGATGGGGACTCCATGACTTCCCTGGGCAGCCTGTCCCAAGGCTTGACAACCCTTTCAGTGAAGACATTTTTCCTCATGTCCAATCTAAACCTCCCCTGACGCAACTTGAGGCCATTTCCTCTTGTCCTATTGCTTGCTACTAGGGAGAAGAGACTGACCCCCACCTTGCTACATCCTCCTGTCAGGCAGCTGTAGAGGGTGATAAGGTCTCCCCTCAGCCTCCTCTTCTCCAGGCTAAACAGCCGCTCCTCATAGGACTTGTGCTCCAGACCCTTCACCAGCTTCCTTGCCCTTCTTCAGACACGCCAAATATAAATAACCACATCTAAATGTACAACCTTCCTCATTTTCAATAATATCAAACAATGTGACACACAATATAGATGCATAATATATTCCATATTATTCTATGTAGCTAAAAGCTCAAACAAAATAAAATCCTAAGTTTTGTCATTCCAATTTTGAACAAATAAAAATCTTTCACGCAAAACTTTCACTAAAATTTTGTTATATTAATGAGTCATTGTGAGAATATCTGTCCACTGTATCTAAACATTACCAGTTTTTTCATTTAGTTATTTACTTTTTCAATTTCATGATGAAGTTATAGAAATGAAGCACTGGCCAAAGCAACGCACGGTGTCGAGCAGGTGCGATGAACGCTCTCCTTGCCCACAGTTCTTGGACCATCCATCAGCCCCAACCTGTCCCTTTGCCGCTCTTCGTGCCTTCCCCACAAAGGGCATGCAGTTCTGCAGAAACTTTCACCAGCTTCATTTCACCTCTCATCATACTGAAATCTGAATTCAGATTTTCTGAGGAGAAAGACTAAAGTTCCTTGCCACCATGGCCTTTTGTAAAAGGCAAGCCTAAAAGAGTTGCGTGAGTTATTCTTCTGGCAGATGAGAACACGGTGGCTACCATAATGAATTTGAATTGTTCAGCATTTTGAGCTGCCTGTTTCTTCTTCCTAAGAGTTATTATAATAAAATACCATCACTAGCAGCAAAAGCTCTGTCATTGTTTTCTGTTCTGGCCCTGCAGTTATGATTAAGTGCACTCCTCTCACTCCCTGTTACTCCAGGCACAAGTCAGCTTATGAAAATGAAGCTGTCTTTCTTACTTATTCATACATCACCACTAACAGCCAGACAACAGAAAACAAGGCTATGATTCTGGCATGACCACGGTGAAAAATTACCGAGTAGGCAGAATTACAGCTGGATTGTCGGGAAGGGGGCTGTACGCTGCCTGGCTGCAGGACGAGGCTTCTCCAGAAGGCAGCTGCAGAGCTACAGCATTCTGCAGAGTACAGCTCCCTGACAGCTCTCGCATGATGAGGAGCGCTTCTCTCCTTGCAAAAGCTTAGCTGTCACTGGGAAGAGGTTTCCATGGAAAACCAGATACGTCTGAGACTGACAACTCAATCCCTTCGATTCTGCTTTCACTTCATAGATTTTTGATGGCTAACAGAGGTGAAAGCATGATCCTCTAATTCAGGCACCGAAGGGGACTCCAGATCTCATCTCAGCTCCTAGCTCAGATGCTGATTTCTTGGCTGACACTGGACAGGTCACGTAACAGCCTCTTGCTCGAATCTCCTTTAAAAAAAATGGGGGTAACAATAACTTTTTCCACCTCTCCTGTTTTGCCTGTCTTAC